GTGCTAAATAAATATGATCGCCATGTCGCCATTGGCGACAAAAAAATGAATCGTGGCGAATAGTTTTGTCATTCCCATTGCCATCATGACTAGAAACTGTGATAGCCAAACTGACGATAAAATCAACAGAAAAATAAACATCTTGTCGCCGTGTAGGTCATTTTACGGATGCCCTGGCCAAACATAAACCTGCTGTAAACAGGACCATCGATTATTGTTGTCTAGGTTAGGCCCAGGCCAGCCCAATTGGCCTAGGGCCTGTCTCTTATACACATCTTATATATACACATACATTATGGTACGGTACCTTGTATTATAAATAACATATATTTTTTTTTCTTTTCTTTTGTTATACAATTATGATATGGACACAGATTCTGAAATGTATGGGTGTATGTGTGTATGTATGTATGTATATATATACATATAATTTACTAAATGTGACGGTTGAAGAACATAGGCAAACACAAAACGTACGCAACGCAATTCTCCGTATTAATAAGAACACACGCTGAGATGTGCTATCAGTTTGTTGTATAATTTACGAGTTGCTATGTTTACTATGCATACATAATTGTACAAAATATCCAAATCGGTTGAATCATCGCTTAACATTTACATGTTAGTTCGCGCTATACGATGGTTCTTTCTGTGTACCTAAATAGTTTCTATCACGGTTAATGTTCTATTCTTCACGTGCACTGACGGGATGCCTTAGGCTGCTGATAAACTACAATTTGAATTTTCTTTCAAATTTATATTGAGCCAGATCTTCTCTCCCACGCATTATGAATATCACATGAGCTGGAATACAGTTAATAACAGTTCAAACATAATTTAATTTCATGTATTCTTGAGTTATTACCCGCGCTTCGTTAAATGGACCAGGCTACCTGCGTAACAGGCCCGTTTGACGGGTGACGACCATGCGTAGGCCTACAAAAATATTTACAGTATTTCGAATGAAAATTTCAGTTACGTACGTCGATTACAGATCTTCATGAACACCTAAAAGGTTGTACCAGTGCATCCGTCTGTTTGATAGAACGTGGCACTGCGTCAGCGCACGCGACTGACGTAGACGTCTGATTATTATAATTAGACACATTATCTCCTCTGGCACGTTTACTTATTAAGTGTATACGGAGGGGAGCTACACACATTAGGCCTATTCTAAGCAGCATTCCGCAAACTTAGAAAGTCGACCTCCTATTTTAAAAATAATTAGAAGCAGATTATTTGTTTCTATACTAAAAACTTAAATGAATATTGATATTAATACTAATTAACACCAGGTTAAATAGAGCTTCCTAACAGCAAAAATAGTCAAAAGCACCATTACTGAGCTGTATTACGCGGGCTTGTATAGAATAGTTTTGAACAACTTTCTTGGAAATTTGAAAGTACAGTAGTACGAACATCTCTGTATCCGAACACAAGTGGACTAATTTTCCAGTAAAACCTGTATGGAAAAAGATTACTAACTACTTAACATTATGTTTGTTATTTTTATTTTAGTGGTAGTAGTGTATCTATGACACCCCAGTGCNCCCCCCCCCCCCCCCCAATCTAACATTCCGGAAAAGCTCATTGGATAGCACGACTTCCGTTTTCAAAATCATGGATTCAATTCAAATTCTAAATTTATTTTAGACAAAATAAAGTACTGTACAGTGTGCCTCCTTCCATGGAACGCAGAGTTAAAAATGGAACGCCAGAGTTATTAAAAAAAAAAACACACACACCCCAGAGCTGTCAAGTGGCTCTCCAGACAGCATCAATCAAACAGTAATAAATAATAAACAAGAGTGACCAGAAAACAATGATTTTAACTCCTTTAAATACTCAAAAGATACAAACTAATGACAATCTGGCAGAAAAATGATGAGAAATATAAACAAAAATATTCTTATATATTACTTCTAACAAAGTACGGTATTATATATCGACACTGCATTTGTGTGTGTGTTTTACGTTTATAATAATAAATATTATGAACACGGAGTTAGGCCTGGCACATCATAGATCCTAGGCAAAAATGAAAATCGAGTTGTTGTCACGTGGTAAGTGTAAGAAGGTAATGACAGACGGTATATTCTCACGCCAAGAAACGTTGTTGTCCAATCCTAAAAGGCAAGATTGATTGTTGCCAAGAGAATGTACCGTAACATACGATTCCAACACTTGTTTAATGTTAAATTACTAAACTTCTATCATCTGGTATCATATCAATCAAGGCAATACGGTAATATTTATATATATATCTGTCTCTTATACACATCTAGATGTGTATAAGAGACAGAAAGTAAAGTTTCCAGGACAATTACAGGACATTCCAGGTCAAGTTTTCCAAATTTCAAGGGCACATTAAAATATCGGCGATTTTACGATTGATTATAAAACATGGATGCTGTACTAATTTTAAATGCATGTTAGTTAAGTGTACATTAAGTTTTATCTAACTTTAATTTGGAGACTATGGATCTGTCCCTTTTTCTCGAGCTCATGGGAAATTCTGTTTTTCCCACAATTCTAAAAATTACTTGGTAAGCAAAGGAATTCCCACGTGTATGGGAAAGTACCGGTAAAGTAAGGCAGGGCTAGAATTCTCTCCTGACTCGTCATGACCATATATAGGCGCATCATGACTATATATCTGTCTCTTATACACATCTAGATGTGTATAAGAGACAGTATGTGTGTCAAGCGTTGACAAAGACTACCGGTACATTACATTTCCATTCCATTTTCACATTTTTTTTCCATTCTGTAAGTGGCGGGCTCCCCGCTGTCGAAAGTGAATTAAAATAAAATTAAATAAAAATAAAATAAATGTCCAAATGTATTTACTTAGTTCAGTAATATTTCTGTATTTAGCATTACGGAATGAGTTAGTATGGTTTCTGCATCTAGCTTTAAATCTATTTCCAGTAAGACCGATGTAAGTTTCTTCATTCTTGTTGTCAACTCTTGTTACTGTAGCTTGATAGCCAATCCCTTCAGTGAGGCATTTGCTGGATAGTGGGCATTCGCCGGATAGTGGGCATTCGTTCTCTGGCGGCAGTTGCATAGATTACTGGGTTATTTTTCTGTAGTTCTTAAGACAATATAGATTTGTTGTGTGAATTTATGACATTATTCATGTTCGGCATGCAGCTATAGCTGAGTTTCAATGTGTTTCTGTTGAATAGCTTTCTCAGCTCGTGTTCTTGCGCCGAGAAACATTCATCTATTATTCGTAGAAATTTGTGGCCTGGTAGCGACGTTGGCGCTGTACGGGGGGTTAAACCATTATGACATTTCGGCTGCGCGATCGTTTTGACTTTGTGCAGGATTCAAATTCAATTTGTAGTCGTAGCCGCTTTTCTGGAGGCCCTCTGATACGGGGGAACAGGCTGTACGATTCATTATCAGACGAGACGTTGGATAGTCTTCTATTGATGGCTTCTGGTTACGAATTATTGACGGTGGGTGGTTGCTTTGTTGATGGACGTAATTGGGGTATTGTTGGGTTTGGAAAATAGTTTGTGTTCCGGTTCTTAAATCCAGGGTTATGTCCAGGTAATCAACTGATTTTTTGTTGGCTTCTATGGTGAGATGCAGATTGTACAGTAACAAGAGTTGACAACAAGAATAAAGAAACTTACATACGGTCTTAATACGGAAAATACATTTAAAACTAGAT